GGATTCTACAAGTGTGAAAAGTTACAGTAGGTCAATCTAATAGTTTATCAAAGCATTCCAGGGGAAAGTGTGCTAAGAAATTCCATTACCCCTTCTCTGTTCTGTATTTGTTATCTACCAGTTTCCAATATTGTTGCCAGCAGGGAGCCCTTTGACTGACTGTATTTCCAATGAAGTATGTTTTTATTAGTTCTATCTCTAAATCTTTTGCTTTGGGGGGAGTATCATCCTGACAACAGTTTTGGTGCCATGAAATTAGGTAAAGGGAGAATGCAATGTAAATATCAATGTTTATAGTACTTGTTGAGAACATCAGGAAAGCTACTACAAGTGTGAAAAGTAACAATAAGGTTTATTAAAGCATTCCAGAGAAAAGCAATTTCTGTAGGTCATCTTTCTCTACCTGACACTACTCCCCGCCCAGTGGAGAATTAAAGAAGAAGGGATTTCAAGAGAGTACTAAAGTTTCTTAACTATTTCTTTAGTTTCATCTTTCATCTTTACAAATCTTCCATTCTCTCTTCAAAAGTTGCCATGTTAGCATTTAGATACCTTATCGACATATTCTTCAAACATTTACGGCAACATCTGTAGGGTAATCCCCTTTCTATAGGTTGCTCCTCCTTCCCACATTTGCTACTTGGTAATGGCTATTCTAATATTATAATCCAAAAGTGAAAGTGCCTCAAGTACAAGGCCAGAGTTTCCACAAAACTCTGGTCCATTTGTGTATTTAGTTCTAATGTTTTCAAAAGCACTTTTGCCAAAAAATAATATTTCAAAATTATTGTTCCCCTTATCCATTTATACTTTCTTCAGTAGTTTTTTAGTAGTAGTTCAAAATCCTTTAAAACTTGGGAACCTGGCTGTGGAAGTGGTGGATGAGTATGCACGTGCATGCACGAAGCTGCATTTGTGAAAGCAATGCATGCACAAAACCATCTCCTCTTCCCCCCTCCCACCACCGCTGCCATTGCAGGTTGGGGATTGCTACTTTAAAACATTATTTCTTCAACTTTTTTGATCTGGAAACACAGTTGACTCACTAAGAGGTTTTCCTTTATCCTGCCTATGGGACGATCTCTCTTTAATTTTAAATTGATTCTATCTGATAACAATTAAGAAAGTGAAGTTTTTGCAAACCTTAGACTGCATTGCATTATGGATGTAATTGAAAATTATGAGTTTTGTAACTACAAAACTCATAATCCTCCTCTCAAGAAAAAGCTGCCTGGAGTGCAGATGGACAATTTCTCAGTTTCTTCTTCTCCAGACAGAATCTGCTGATCAGTATTCATTATCTGGCTGCCGTTTTATGTCTAGTGCAATCCCCACTCCCCCAGGAATATTTTGCTCTCCATAAGACCAGTGTTCCCTAACCTTTCTGGCTCAATGGACTGGCAGAGGCAGCGGCAGTGGCAGGAAGGGAGAGAGAATAGTTTTGCACCTGTGCGCCACTTTCACAAATGCAGCTTCATACACACACACACACACACCACCACCACCACCATTTCTACGGCCTGGTTATGAATGGGCTGGGAGTTGGGGATTCCTGCATTCGACCACCCCCAAACATTTAGAATATTTTAAAGCTAACGGGTATTCCAAAATAGTTATTAGTAATAGTAATAAAGTTGGAAGGGACCTTGGAGGTCATCTGGTCCAACCTCCTGCTCAGGCAGGAAACCCTATACCATTTCAGACAAATGGTTGTCCAGTCTCTTCTTAAAAACTTCCAGTGTTGGAGCATTCACAGCCTCCGGAGGCAGGTTGTCCCACTGATTAATTGTTCTAACTGTCAGGAAATATCTCCTTAGTTCTAGGTTGCTTCTCTCCTTGATTAGTTTCTATCTGTTGCTTCTTGTCCTGCCTTCAGGTGCTTTGGAGAATAGCTTGACTCCCTCTTCTATTAGTCTTTTGAGTAACATTTATCATGAATAGGAAGCTATTATTAGAACAGAAACCGTAGAAACAGAATATTTCAGAATAGGAATGAAAGGATTTATATTGTCAACATATCTATTTAAATTATATATTGAATATATTCTAAGTATGTTACTACAGGAAGAGAAAACAGCTTGAATCAAAATTATAAGCATCCGTAACATGTTATCCAAAATTAAGAGAAGCACAGTGACAAATTAACACAAAACCACGAAAGAGAATACTTAAAGCAATTGTACTAATATGCAGCTTTGAAAGCTTGACATTGAGAAAGAAGAAAAATAAAATGGATGCCTTTAAATTATGGATTTGGAGATGGATACAGTTTAATAGAACTAACAGTGGTCCAAATAAAGATTAAATATTCCATTAAGGCAATGAGGAAATAGAAATTTGCATACTTATGAGCATGTGATGTGAGTGAAGGATGAACCAGAAAAGAAAAATCTAGCAAGGTTAAATAGAGGGGGAGCTAACTGATAAAATGGGTGAATGGTATCATTGTTTTACAGGAGTTCTTCGAAAGAAATGAAAGTTTTCATTGGAGGCAGGACCAGAATGACAAACATTTCCTTAAAGGGCCATAGAAATTAAGCCAGTGAGAGGATAGATTGCTTCCAAATGGCTAGCACTTGTGCTGCTATTACCCTGTCCCTGTAAGCCAGGGGTGTCAAACTCGCAATGTCACATGACGTGTCATGATGTATTGCAACATTTTTTCCATTGCTGGCAATGGGATGGGCATGGTTTCGCCATGATGCATCCGGCCCATGGGCCGGCAGTTTGACACCCCTGCTGTAAGCTGGGCAGAGAGACAACTGTGCTGGTGTTAGGTTGTGGGAGAGAGGGAAGGATGTGTGTTTGCATTTGTAAAGCAATCTAAAGCAGATAGAAAAAAAATACTGTTTTCCCGGCAGTAGGCCTCATAAGAAAAGTATTTGGAGGAGCAGTAGGAGGAGGTGTAGTAGAAGTGAGAAAAATTGGAGCAATCAGCAATGGACTTTGAGTGCTTGTGTTGCCTAGATCCTGTGTGGTTGTGTTGGCTCTCGGGTTTTTGAACCCACTGACTTAGGTATACATAAAAGAACTGTGACAGCCAGATTTGCTAGCAACTAAATAATTCTTCAGTTTCTCTACTCTAGGGAAGATATGAGCCTTTATTTTGTCTTAATCCGTAGTATTCACTGTTCTTCTTATTGCCATTCTTTATACACTCTTGTAATTGAAGGGCACTGGTAGAAGATCTGAAAGATCTTCAGGTTAGGGACAGTTTCATGTGGTCGCTAACAGTCAACAACAGCCTGTTAGTGCATAATTGGTCAGAAGAAAGGCTATATAAGATATGGACATTCCAGGTGATTTTGGTCTGTTTATTTCTAGGGTTAAATCTGCATATAAGTAAAGATTATAACTTTATAACAATACTTGCTTGATACTTTTATGTTTTTGAGTTTTTAGAGCACCAGCTCTAAAAGTTTAAAGTATTACCTTACCTGGGATCAACAAGGTTATAGTGGGAGAGTTATAAATGTTATGGGTTCAGGAACATTATGTGAAAGAACACTTTAGATGCCCTTTATGTAAGGCTTCAGTTTTTGTTCTGAAAAAGATAGTTGGACATATTTAAGTGTGTTTTTATGGAGTATGCATGGTAACCTTCTGGTTTTGATGTTTAGTCTCTGACATTTCATTAGAAACTGTGTTTTGAAATTAATGCTGAGTCATGTGCTAAAGAATGTAAGTCTGTCACAACTTCATCATATCAGGAAGTATTTGAATTGTCTCCTAGATTTTATTTTGCCATTTTTGGCTGTGCTGTTAATTTTAAATATTGCCAATTTAAAAAAATCACATGTTTTTATTATAAAATATTTTTGTAATGAACTAATTTATAAATATTGTTTCAATAAAAATAAAGATCATTGCTGAACTAAATAAATGTGAACATGTAGACTATTAGTTGGCTGTGTATGATGGAGTGTAGTGAGGAGATGGATTCCCAGGAGGGAGGGGGTGCATTCCAGAGGAGTACCAGGGAACTCAGCCCAGATATCATGAGGCCTAACACCTCCTTAATACAGGTAGGCCTCTACTTAAAATAGTTCATTTAGTGACAGTTCAAAGTTATAAAGACATTGAAAAAGGGACTTATGACCATTTTCACAGTTACAACCTTTGTAGCATCCCCATGCTTATGTGATCAAAATTCACATGCTTGGCAACTGGTTCACACTTATGACCATTGCTGTGTCCCAAGGTCATGAGATCACCTTTTGCAACTTTGACAAGTAAAGTCAGTGGGGAAGCCAGATTCACTTAACAACCAGGTTATTAATTTATCAACTGCAGTGATTCACTCAACAACTATGGCAAGAAAGGTTGTAAAATGGGGCAGAACTCACTTTACAAATGTCTCACTTAACAACAGAAATTTTGGGCTGAGTTGTCGTAAATAGAGGACTATCTGTTGTTCAGAAGTGTATTATAGATGTAGATAGTAGAATCTTTAGTCTGACAAAATTGTGTCTATAGGTGTAAAGCAATAAAAAAAAACCCAGCTTGAAAGAATTACCATGTGTCATTCTTGGTTTTGGGCCTGACACTGTAGAACATGGGTCCCCAGCCCCTGGTCCGTGGACCAGTACCGGTCTGCAGCATGCCAGCAAGTGGGCCACATAAACAAGCAAAGCTCCATCCTCGGGATGCAGGCAGTATTCAAAACCACCCCCTCTCTGGTCCGTGGAAAAACCTTTCTCCATGGCACTGGTCCCTGGTGCCCCAAAGGTTGGGGACGTCTGCTGTAGAATATCAATTTTGCCCATTTCAGATAATAGAATTTGATTAGCAACTGATGATTCTTCTTCAGCAAGATTCTTCTTCACCTATCACATTATCCCTGGCCACGCAACAGTTTCTCCTGTAGGTAGTCCTCTATTCTCTTGTGATACTTTTCTATATTCAACTAGAAAAGTTAGAAATAAACATAGTTTCAGGATTTTGTGAGATGAAATTCATATTATACTTTAAATAATCTTACAACTTTTTTTTGCTTGCAGAGATTTGAGTCATAATGATTTGTTATCCTCTAATTGGAGTATTGATTCATCAGGTCAAATGCTGCAAGAAGTGTAAGTTACTTTAGCTGTAATGTAATAAACTAAGGGATATGACATTAGTTGTAATGTGTCAAGTGACATAATATTTAAGAATGACAGATTGAGCATAAAAATTTACAGAAGGCTTCTAATAGTATTGTCAGTGAAAGAGTTAGTAAGGAAATGAAAAAAGAAAATAATTAAATACAATAGGAGCTGTGATATAATGGCATATGAATACTGAATTGCCTTACACACTGTCAGCGTAGGTTGCAAATGCAAAGGAAAAGAAGCCATTGGGATAATTGCTTCTGCAATCATTTCTGAGCCTTTAATATTTCTGGATCATGTGACGAGGAGGGAGTGGGGTTTAGAACAGGGGTTCCCAACCCCTGGTCTGTGGCCTACTACCGGGCATTGAGCATTTTGGGCCTGGGATATGGAAGTGGTAGGCAAGGGCATGCACGTGCATCCATGTGCTCCTCACACAAATGGAGCTATGCGCACACTTGCCGCGCACACAGAGCCATCCTCTCCTCCCCGCCAGTCTGCAAAGCCGAAATGGTTGGGGAACTGTGGGTTTAGAATATACAGTTTTGTTTTAGGCCACTGCCTTACTGTCTTTGCCATTGGGATATATTGGGTAGGATTTTTTTCCCTCTGAAACCTCCAGCTAGATCTGGTTTATTTTTAAGCTTAATCTTTCTTTTCACAGCTTCTTTCCGCACTCCAATTTGGTCAATATGTGTTACCTTTTCAGAGTTTCATGTTGATGTACAGATAGAGTCCTGAGCACTTTTTTTCTCTAGCATTAGGTTCAAAATATTTTTTTGTTTAAAAAAGTCTGACTTTAGGTTAGATCACATCTGATGATGTGCATACAGCTTCTTTGGTATAATAGAGAAGAGGTTAGGGTCTGTGGTTTCTGTCCCCTTTGACCCAGTTCTTACTCAGACCTATAGCCCTAAGGTTTCCGATAGCTCCCCAATAAATTATTAGACTAATCTGACCTTGATTGCCTTTTTCTAAGTGTAGCCGAGTACACTTTTGTTTCTAATCATTAGAAATAGTTTAGCTGAGAAGTGGACAGTTTGGATTTTATAAGGAACAATGATACCATTTTTTAAATTGAAGAGTGTGTTTCGTTAGTATCTTTACATCCAGATAGAATTCTAGATTTAGAAAGTTGCATTGAATGTATATCTGTATTATAAATATAGTAATATTGGTGATAGTTTTTAGTTTCAAGTTCTGCTGCTTAATTTATGGTTCTTAAACTAGTTTGCATGTATAGAAATTTTTTCACTTAATATAGAATTTAAAATTAACTGGTGTTTGCATGTTTAATATTCTCCAGAAAGAAGTAGATTTCTAGTTCTGAGAAATAATACATTTATGAATCCTTGGGAATCAATTCTGTTAACTCAAATAATAACTCAGTTTACTTTTGAAGCTCTTATGTATGTATTGTTCCAATAATCCTTGACATAGTATTTCACTGAGAATATCAGTGTTCTTCTGAAGTAGCACTTCAGCACAGACTTCTGTACTAGTCCATACTTGTTTGCACTGAATTCAGATGATAAAATAAATGTATTTTAGGTGCTTTGAATTGTTTTGCTTTTTATGAAGTTTACTTCTGAGAATGATTGTAGATTTTTTTAAAAATGTATATAGAACAAGAATATTAATGCATGGCAAATTTACTCTGTTTTTGTTGATATGACTTCTTTTTGAGTGCTAATAAATAATCTTTCTTTCAGGAAGATGAATCATAATGAACTAAGTGGTATTCCCCACTTTGGTGAACTAACTTCTAATATCACACTACTATCACTGTAAGTTAATATTCACACATTTTTCAGGATGATTTTTAAACTTAGCAATGTAGAAAATAAAATTATGTTAGATAATTAATCAAATAAAAATGAAGCATGGGGATGTTTGAAAAGTAATTTGAAAAATTTATGTAACGTTATGAAAGAGCAATTAAGAATAAGAGTAATATCAGAATTCCTTTGTTATATTTATACTATCTGTTCATACCGAACATTTAAATAAGTTAAAATGCTCATCAAATGATGCTGGCCTGTGATCCATCAAGCTGTTTGGATAGTAGCCAATCCAATCATCAATTTATATCATCAAAATAAGCAGCTTCTAATATTATAATTCACATTTAATCTACAAGATGTTTATTGGTACTTTTTTTTAACGAGCTGAAATTTTTTCAAATATGATATAAGGTGATTATTTATGTTTTAGAGTGCATAATTCAATTCAGGAGATTGTCTCTGAACAGCTGCAACCTTATTTCTCCCTGGAGAACCTTGATCTCAGTTCCAACTTCATCACAGAAATCAAAGTTTCTTCATTTCCACATATGCAGCTGAAGTACCTGTAAGTACATGAGAACACTTAGCATGAAATATTGAAAGTAGTTTCTTTTCCAGTTTGTATATCTGACCTAATTTTTTACCCTTTATATAAAAATATTGCAAGGGTTGTTAATGGATTTCTGTGCACCAAATAACTTCTGTCTGTGTGCCATTTTTATGAAGTCATGATAACATTGATGAAATAATAAAGCTTCACAATGGTACTAATGAAATTAAGACATGTTGTGAAGAATAGATTTAGTAATTCAGGAATCACTGAATAGAGGAATGGATGTACAGAAGACTGTATGGATTCCCAGATTAGGAGGTGGTATCTCTCAAAATATCAGTTGCAGGAATAGTAGAAACTTGTAATATTAATTTATTAACCATGACTGGAGATTGGAAATAGGATAGACAGACTTTAATAATAATAAGCAGATCTTCACTATATGGAATATTAATATGATTCTAAACATGCTAAACTGTAGCTTAGTGAGAGTGCGTGAATATAGTATCTTCCCAGATTTATACATTCTCAGTTTATTCTGCAACACAGTTCAAAAGCTTTCACTTTTAGTTAATTGCAACATGTACGTTTGGACCAAGAACTGTAATTAATAGTAACTGTGGTTAATTTAAAACAAACCATTAACTGATTAATGTTAATCACACTTAGTGGCTTCAAAAACAATCAATAAAAAGCAGAAACAAACACTCTTCAGCCATGTGGGAATAGAGTCAGCTCAATTGCAGTTTAATGCAATGCCTGAATGTGAACAGTTTGGAACAGGAATGTTTGTCTCAATTGTCTCCATCCCTCAAAGTTGTAATATGTTTCAGATTCTCTTACATGATTGTCCAGGTTGCTTAAAAGAACTGTGAATAAAAGATCATTACTTAATTGCATCTGATTAATTCTGATGACATCAACTAACACAGAGGTCACCAACCTTTTCATGCTGGCAGCCCAGAGGGAAAGGGAGCTGGGAAATTTGTGTATATGTGCACATGCGCGAATGGAACCATGAGCACCTGCATGGTGCTAGCAGCCATTTGTGCATGCGCTTGGGCTAGTCGCCACCACTGCTAGCACCTGCGTGCATGCGCAAACAGGCCATGCAGCCCGCACGGGGCTAGTGACCCCATTTGCGCATGCATGCATGAGCTAGCTGCCACTGGTAGCACCCGCACATATACACAAATGGGCTGCGCAACCTACATAGCACTAGCAGCCCAATTTGCGCAGGTGCACAGGCACTAGCCACCCCCGCTAGCAACTGCATGCAGGTGCAAATAGGCTGCACAACCCCCACGCATGGTAGTGCCCCATTTGTGCAGGCATTAGCCACTGCTAGCCCAACAAACATGCACAAATAGGTCCGCGGGTGCTAGCGCAATTGGGTTGAGTGTGCGCAGCCTGTCCTGCAGGCTGGTGGCCAGTAGGCCACAGTCTGGTAATGGGCTGCGGCCCATTGGTTGGGGACCCATAATCTAACAATCAGTGAAACAGCATGCTAAGTTTTATGAAAGTAAATTTTCTTGAAGTAAGGAATGGTTTCTTTGTTAAATTATTCCATCAGGATTTAACATCTACCTTTTTAAAACTCTGTTTTTATAGGAATTTGAGCAACAATAGAATAACCACTCTGGAAGCAGGCTGTTTTGATAACCTGTCCAATTCCTTAATAGTTCTAAAACTGAACAGAAACAGAATAAGCATGATTCCATCGAAGACTTTCAAGCTACCTTATGTGCAGTTCTTGTAAGTGATTATACACTGTCAATTTGAAGCCCATTTATGGAGCATGTTAATAACGAAAGTCATAAATTCATGCCAGAGAAGTAATTGATTTTTAAAGTGTTTTTAATGTATGCGTCTAATAAAAGAATAGGTATATTGGATAAATGTCAAGTGGAAAGTTTCAAAGCTGCCATTCCTAGTTTACATGCTATAAGTTATCTTTTCAGCTCTCAGCTTCATTACATGGGGATACAGATCTGGTATCAAGTTTCATTTGCTTCACTGACATTTTTCCTTTCTGAGGAATTTCTAATGGTAGGCCATTTACACTATTGAATCTCTGCTCAATGCAGGAATCCAAAGCAACAATATCTCCCAACATACCATAATTCTGAATTCTGAGCAGGGGATTGAATTATAGGTAGTGCTTGACATATGATTGTAATAGAGCCTGCCCTTTACACTCTTAAGTAGTGATGGTCATAAATCAGTCATCCACATGATTGACCTGATCAGCTCATTAAGTGAACCAATGGTTCACTCTAGGCACGTTTTTCGCAAAACCATCATAAAAAATGGGCATGTGACTGTGATAGCTGTAAATGCAGGCCGATTGACCATTAGAACTTCAGAATCAAGTTTTAAGTACCCCAAGAGGAGGTCTGGCATAACTGGTTGTAAGTTGAGATTGCCTAAAGATGGTGCCTTCCAGGCCTTAGATTTTATTTTGTTGGAATAAAGTTCACATTGTACTATAAATATATTACTCTTCAAATAAAATAATTGTTAATATATGAGGGAAAGAAATCTTTATCCTCTGCTGAAGTCCTGGTATAAAGAGTACGAACTAAACTCTTTGTTCAGAGTGGAAATATTGGTCATCTGAGGATTTATGTATTTAAATATATGTTAGTTCAGTTTTTGTTTTTTGTTTTGATGGTTAAATTACATCAAAGTCTTACATCAAAGTCTTTGTAATGTTTTTTTATTAGAATAGCAACCATAGAAAAAGTTATATTTGTGCTTGATTTCTGTTACCTTATATTTAAAATTTTCAGGGAACTTAAAAGAAATCGAATTAAGGTAATAGAAAGCCTTACCTTCCAAGGCTTGGACTCATTGAAATCATTAAAAATGCAACGCAATGGAATTAGTAATCTGATGGATGGTGCCTTTTTTGGATTGAATAATATGGAAGAATTGTGAGTATATTATATAACCTCTTCATTAAAAATCTTAGATTTGATTAGCTAAAAGAGCTGATTAGGTTTAATGATAGATGTATCGATTTACCAATTATATTCAATCATAATTTTAATATATTTTTTAATATTCCATAGTATACTTCAGAAAACAATGGCAGATAACAACTTACAACAATAATATTAAAAAAGTGAATGAATATAGAATTGAATTTTGTATTTTGCTTTGTACTTAAACATTTCCTTTCTTTGCCTTTAAATTCTCATGGCTTCTTCTTTTTTATAAATATTTTATTAATTTTCTATTTTTATAATCAAGTGCCTAATAGACAACGTGATGACTGAGTCCATTAGTGATTCCGTGGTACATGTAAGCTTCTTCAAACTAAATCCAATATTACACCCTCTAGTACATCCTCTCTTCTTCTGGTAGTAGACATTTTTCACACTAAGCAAATACAATTCTTCTTGTTGTTAGTAAATATACAATTGCCTGTCAACATTTGTTACATTTTTTCTAATAGTGTCAATAATATCAGTTTAGAATATCTTTTCTAACCAAAGCATATCTTAATTGCATTTGCACTCAATATCCATTTATTCAGTCCATATCCTATTTTTGCTTTTCTCAATTTTAATTTCCCATCCATGTTCAAAATATCCCAATTATTTATAATTTCAGAACAAGTTATATTTGGGTAAAGTTTCCCTTATTCTTATTTCCCTTTCCATACCAAGATATGATATTCTGATTACAAATCCTATCTATCTAGTTATAATAATATTACTATTTCTAGTAATAATATTATTCTACTAATAATACTATTTCTAGCAATCTATTCTTAACTATATTCAAACATCTAACTGGTAATATAACATCCCCTCTAATATAACATCCCCTCTAACAGGTCAAAGCTTCTATTTCCTTCAGTCTTACTCTAGCTTTCTTCCTTTGCCAACTAACTTTCCAAGTCAGTGCATTTGGATTATCAAATAATTATTCCTCTATTTTTATATATATTATTTGAAACAAGAGAAACTAGTTAGAGTATTTTCGGAGGAACTAGCCCATTGATATTCATTAAACAGGCTCCCTCTTTCTCCAGTTAACGGCTTTATCTTAAATTCCATCAGTTCTCCTTCCTTATTCTCCAGTATGTTCTGGAACTTTGGTTTGTAAAATGTCTTTTCCATTTCGAATATTATTGTTGTGTCTTCTAAGTCTTCATTTATCTGAGTCTGGTCGTTAGCTTCTTCCTTTAGATCCTCAATGTTTGTGTCAGCATTCTATAGTTTTCCTTCTATTTTTCTGGATTGCTGGTTCCTTCTCTGTTTTTATTTTCTGAGTTTGTAGATTTAAATTAGAAAATTGTTCTTCTTTCTCCTTTGTGTTATTTTTAATCTCATCATGAGCTAAAGCAATTGTTTCTTGTATTAATTTCAACATAGAGAGAATTCCTTTCTGTGGTTCATCAGTATAAATTTATCCAACCAACTAGCCGTTCTTAAACCTCCCCTAAGCAGATATAAGTAAAATTCAAATTTTTCTGTTCAATGAGAAATATATCCTTCCTGTCCAGAGAGAAAAAAGAACCATTAAAGATTGTTTAACAATCAAGATTTATAATCCAAAGTGTTCCATCATATCAGGCAATAGTGTATGTTTCTGCTACAGGAAAATAGTTCCACAATACAGTTCTGAAAGTCAGTATTTCTGTTCATAATTCAGACAGGCCAATTTTAGAGTAATATTATCGTCTCTATCCCACAGATAAGCAGCCCCCAAGTCTGTTCCTTTCTCTCAGCTGCAATTCTCAAAAGTAAAAGCTTCCAAGGCCAGCCAAAGTCTTATCTAACTCTGGATTTCGAGCCAGATTTCTTTTAGGCATAAATAAGTTGTAATGCTATAATTCACCACTAGATGTCATCAACTCCGTTTTTCAGTTTTTAAATCCAAAACTTATAATATATATATATATATATATATATATATATATATATATATATATATATATATATATATATATATACTATAAATAAGTTGTAATGCTATAATTCATTACTAATATGGTGAGAGAAGTAGTCAAACACCGGGATAAATAAAAACAGCTGTTTAATAAACTAACAACTTAGCTTTCGTTGGCTAACTGCCAACGTCATCAGAGTGGAATGCTGGAGGTTTGAAAGCCTGCTCATAAGACTGGCAGTTTATGTGCTCTGCTCATAGAACACATCACTGGTCTGCCCACTCCAGCTGACGGTATTACTTCTAATAGTCTTGCATCCGTCTGTATATTTGTATATTTGTAAGTTCAGGGATCACTGCTTCTCTTATTGCCGCTCTCTTTGCCTGCTTTGGGGGTATCTGGGTACACTTTGCTGTAGGATGATCCCTCAGTGCATCCTGTCTTGTGGTCATCCCTTGTTGTGAGTGTGGCACTCCGCTTCCCATCATTGACTCCTGTATGAATTGTGCTGGGGATTTCTCCCCTTTTGCCAGTCATATTTCTTTGCTGTTGTATGAGACAGCAGTTCTGGTCTTGCATCGGCTGTACCCATTGTACTCGTTGTGGGTTGTTGCATTGTTGTTCCCACTTCCTTAGTGCCTGATAAGCAGGCAGTAAATCTATGTGGCAATTAATTGAATGTTCATCCGACAGCCAAGCCTCCTACAGTAATCGACCAGCTTTGGAGACATCCTGTGCGATGGCCTCCACCCCGGCAAGGTCGAACGTGTGATTGTTGTTGGCCATATGGACCCACACCTGCGAGCGTTGCTCATGTCGTTTAATGGCCAGTTTGTGTTCATGGATTCTAGTTCCAAGCCATTTGGTTGTCTCCCCAATGTAATTGCAGTGACAATCCTTACATTTCACTCTATATATCACTGAAGATCTTTCTTCATTGGGGAGTGAATCTTTGGGGCACATTATTTTGGCACGAAGGGTTTGGTTTGGTTTATGGGCAATACTAATGTTATATGGCGCCAATATTCGTGCTGTCGCCTCTGATACCCCATTGATGTATGGCAGAGTTGTCCATGTCATAGTGGTGCCTGTGTGTTGTATTCTGCGAGGTTCATATGGTCTGCTGTATCGTCTGATGAAATCAAATGGATAGCCATTTTGTCTGCAATCATGGTATAGATGATTCCTCTCCTCAACTTTTGCCCTATCCGTGTTGCAGTGAGTGTTCACATGCTTAAATAGCGTTCTGATACAGCCTATTTTGTGTGACATGGGATGATTACTCCTGTAGTGTAAAATTCTGTCTGTATGCGTTGGTTTTCGGTGGACGGTCGTGTGGAGAGTGCCATCAGGCTGACGGCTGACTAGGACATCTAAAAAAGCAAGTGTGCCATTGATTTCTTCCGCCGCTGTAAAGCGAATGTCTGGGTAAACTGAATTTAAATCTCTCACGAACTTGGCGCTATCTTGCCTTTTGATGACAGCAAAAGTGTCATCCACGTATCTAACCCAAAATTTGGGGCGATGCGCGGACATCACTTCAACTTCGAGCTGTTGCAGGACCGCCTCCGCAATGACTCCCGAAATTGGGGATCCCATCGGCGTGCTTTTCACCTCCTCGTAGATGGTGCCCTGGAATGTAAAATATGTTTTAAGGCACAGGTTCATGACTTGGATGAGGTCCTCGGTGCAGAGTGAGTCCTGATGTCGCCCTTCCTCTTGTTGCAGGCGGCTCCTTATTACCGCAATAGCTAGGTCTTGTGGAATCGAGGTAAAGAGTGAGGTTACATCAAAAGATACTAAGACCCCATCTTCCTCCACTCTTAGCGATTTTATCCTGCTCAGGAACTCTTCTGATTGATGTATGTATGTATGTATGTATGTATGTATGTATGTATGTATGTGTATATGTGTGTGTGTGTGTGTGTGTGTGTGTGTGTGTATTCATTCCAAATTGGTTTTGTAGGTTTCTCCTTTTCCCCCAATAATTAATTTGCTTTCCTGAGGGAATGGGGTGGAATTTCCCTTTCCTTCCTTGGGGGGAGTGCTTTGGGCAGATTTTCAGGAAGAGGTCTTTAAAGTCGTAAAGAGAGGCTTAGGTCTTATCCACATTTCTGTAAGATTGCTTGATAGTGCTTGTTGTCTTCCGTTGACAGCAGCTTCTGATTGGCTAAGCGAATGTGGCCAGTCTTTCCCCAGCCAGTTTGGAGGGCTTCCTCAGATCAAACGGGAGGGCTGCCATTCTCCTGTGATCAACGAGGGTCCCCTCCTTGCTTGCCGCCTCTAAGGGGTGACTTTCAACACTTTCCAGGTCCCCCAGTGGGGCGAAATCAAACACGAAACACGGAGCCCCGTCTTCCTGCGTCTGCGTCAATGCGATGTCAAAACCGGAAGCCCTCTTGGCTTCTATGTTGAGGACTTGTAGGTACAATAGTATTTAACAATAGCTTTGCATTTCTACTAGCAAATTGCTATATATGGTTTGCATTTAAATACATATTTTTAAATACACAATTTAAAGCATATGTGACATTTTCTTTTGATTCTGTAGAGAGTTGGAACAGAATAATCTGACAGAAATAAATAAGGGATGGCTATATGGCTTGAAGGCACTGCAAAAGCTCTATGTCAGTCAGAATGCCATTAATAGGATTGGACCTGATGCATGGGAATTCTGCCAAAGTCTTTCTGAACTGTAAGTACTTACCTTTGTTTTATTGAGGTAAATATAGTGGAATAAATTGCTATTTTAGTTGGGAAAGTTTCTTAATATACCTTACAAAAATGGATTTGTCTTCTCAAATCAAATTGATTAGTGGTGTCACAACATTTCAACAATCTTGTTACTTACATTTTTCTCTTTGTTGTGCCTTTCATTTCAGAGATCTGTCATACAATCAACTGACTCGCCTAGATGAGTTTGCTTTTATTGGAGTGAATGTATTGGAAAAATTAAATTTGAGTGACAGTAGACTCAGTTACATTGCTGATGGAGTTTTTAAAGGACTCTCATACCTACAGACTTTGTAAGTGTATATAATTTGGAGGGAAAATAACATTTATCAGAAGAAAATTAGCAGGAATGAAACTTAAGCACTCTCAGCAGGGTATTAATAACACTTACAAAAGGAGATGTGGATCCCCTTTCTGACGATTGAACTTAGATTATCCATATGCATTTCAAAAGGCAAAATATGAGAGGTTTATTTTATCAAAGAGCTTGCTCAGGTTTTTCAGTACTTCTAGGTGCTTTTTAAAAGATTCAGCATTTAAATCAGACATTCAAACACGGCCCGCGAAGTGGTTTCATGTGGCCCGCAAAGCCATTCTGAAAACAGTGAGGGAATGGCCCCTGTTGCCTTGGCCCTGGCCCAGGCCAGCCGGGAACCAATGTACAATTTTGTGGTGGCCATCTATGCTGAAACGCATTTAGTCTTAGCTCCACAAGGCTGTCTGGAAACAGTGAGGAACCAGCCCCTGCTGTGTCGGCCCCACCCCCTGGGTGCATGCTGGGAAGGTGTCACCCTTTGTGAGGAATGAAGAAATGGACCATGCCTTGAAGCTTGCCCCGGTCCCATCCCCTTCTGCCAAAGACCCTCAGATCTGTCCCACTCCTGCCCAGGCCCCCACAGGCCCCCTTGATGCGAACGATGTAGAGCTGGCCATACCCACCCAGTAAGCCACACCCACTCCATCCACGCCCACCCAGTAGGCCGCACTCACCCTGGTCACACCCACCTGCCCCCCCCCGAGGGCAACCACAATGCTGATGCGGCCCTCAATGAAATTGAGTTTGATTTAAATGGATTTTGTGTATAATGTAATGGATGTTACATTGAATAATTCTTATGGAGTCATTGATAGGTGTTACTTTACCTAACCATCTGTCTTCATGAACTCCTAAGAAGCTTTTTTTTCCAGGTTGAGTTCTTTCTATGCTAGGATAGGAGGCTGAAGTATAGGTAGATACATATTAAAAATATATAATAGTGCACAAACCTAGCATCTGAACATATGCAAAATACTTTTACCTTTCAGTCCAGCGAAGAGCAACCTGTCCTTCATAAAAATCAGTTAAATGGGAAAATAGTATTTTTCCTCAGGAATTTCCAGCATTTCTCTTTCTGGAAATTAAGCATTATTCATTTCCCCGGTGAACTCTACTGTAGCATACACGCATCAGTTTTCAAAAGGATAGTACACACAATCTTTCAACTTTTTTCCCATTGAAATCTACTCAAGGGTTTTTGTCTTTTCTGTAAGATTAATCCACATACCCCCAGTTATTTTTGTCAAATGGTTCTTTATTGCTTCTTTTCTTTCTGATGCAAAAACAGCACAGTCAATTTTAAATGGTTCTGAGAGATGGAAAAAGTCTCCAGAGATGTGTAAAATGTTTGAAATGCTTCTGAATGTATAAAACATAAAGAACATGGTTAACCTTCATATTATTATCCTTAGAAATATTTTAAAAGAAGTACTTGGAAAGAGTGTATTCTTGGGTATAGAGATGGAAACTGCACAACAAAGTGTAAATGAGATTGAGTTGGGGTAACTAAAATATAGCATGAGAAAATAGAAAGCGATGGAACTATCCTGTCAGTCCCAGCTATCATTAAGTATTATTGGGAAAGAAAAGAGAATAATCTGTTGCCCAAATAGTTAACAGCCTACAGAAGACTTGCATAATCAGTCACATTGTTTTAAATTCAATGCAGCCTTTTAAAGGGATTAGTTAAAGCTAATATTTTAAACGTGGAGTAGCATGAAACAAAAGAACAGCAGATTAATTAGTGAATTTTGTTGGAATCTTGAGAAATATCAAGCTGTTGAGAGGCTAGTTTTTTGGTTCAGGGTCATTGGATGTTTACAGACAATGGTCTGAGAGTAATTAACAGGACTCCAAGTATTTATGCCTAACTGGGCATGAAAAGTAAATGCCTATTGGCCCACCCAGTAAGGACCTACTCAAATGAACTTGTCCTAGTTACGTATGACATCGGAATGTGTCAACTTCAACAGCCGGAAAAGTTGTCCTTTAATAGATCTTTTCCTGTGTCTGTGGCTTTGAATTGTAAACTAACTTACTGCCCTGGTTTCAGGCTGGAATATAGAATATGTGTTGCATATGGTATAGTGTTTCTTGCCTGAGCAGGGGGTTGGACTAGATGACCTCCAAGGTTCATCATCATCACCACCACCACCATCATCATCATCAAAGTGCAGCATAGCATTTATTTTCCTATACAAGCTTTCTTTTAAGTTAGGGGAGAGATTTACTGTGAAACTGCTTTTATTAAGGAACTGGTTAACCATTTATATATGGTTAACAAATTAATTCCTGAAAATAATAAACATCTTAAATATTCTCTCATTTTGCAGCATGAATACAACATCAGGGAGGTTATATTGATGGTGCAAAATGTTGGAACATTATACAGATAATCCTTGACTTACAACAGTTCTCTTAGTGACTGTTTGAAGTTACAAGGGGACTGAAAAAAGTGACTTATAACCATTTTTCACAGTTATGACCGTTGCAGCATCCCCATAGTCATGTGACTTACATTCAGATGCTTGACAGCTGACTCATATTTATGATAGTTGCAGTGTCCCCGGGCCACGTGATCATCTTTTGTGACTTTCTGACAAGCAAAATCAATGGGGTAACCAGATTCACTTAACAACTGTGTTATTAATTTTTAAGTGATTCATTTAAAGGTGGCAAGAAAAGTTGTAAAATGGGACAAAACTCACTTAATAAATTTCTCACTTAGCAACATAAATTTTGGGCTCAATTGTGGTTGTAAGTTAAGGACTACCTGTACCAAATGACAGAAACAGAGTATTTTAAAAGGTTGTGTTGATTTTTTTGTACATTATCATTGATAAACTATTGGCTAAGTTTCTGAATTCACTAAACTGAGAGGAAAGTAAAAGTTGTTATAAATTTATCATTTGTCCTTAGCATTGCTAAGTTTGTTAGATTTCAGCAAAGCATCCTCTTTTCCTCTTAGGACAGGCATGTTAAACTGCCGGCCCGTGGGCCGGATGTGTCACACTGAAACCACGCCCACCCCATTGCCTGCAATGGGGAAAAAGTCGCAATACGTCGCGCAATGTCATGTGACATCGCAAGTTTGACATGCCTGTCTTAGGAGTTCACTAAATTGATTTTAACAGCTTTCTGTTCAATACTTTAGAAAGGTATAGAGCATAAAGGAATAAATGAAAGTCAGATTGGCATATAACAGAATTTGTGAATAAAACCACCCACATGTGTCTTTGAAAATCTTTTTTTTCTGGATAGCAATCAACCTATATCTTATCTATTACAGTGCTAATCTTATAAGCTTCTTGCTTCATTAACGCAAAAGAATTTACAACAATGGTACGACATTAATTCAACTGAAGAGGCTCACCAGTTGGTGGTAAATGACATACTAAAGCCATTAAAGACTAATAGACAGTGCTCAGCTGGAATAACAGTGCTGCTTGGTTTTAGCTCTAGTGATTTTCCATAATTCCACTTTCCCTTGGGGTTATTTTCATGTATTTATTCTCCAGTCATATTCTTTTAACCAAGTTATATCTCATTAGGCCAGTATTTATTCTAACGAAGTGTGAACATCTGTATGAGGATAATTTATTGCAAAACCAAACCTTTAAAATGGCAAGATCTGAAAGGGAGAGGAGAAATTGGGGTTGGAAGAATTTGTTTGGTTTTGTTTTGCTTGGCCAAATATTTATTAGGAATGTATATTTATGTTTTTAGAGATCTACGGAATAATGAGATTTCCTGGGCCATAGAAGATGCAAATGAAGCATTTACAGGACTTGAGAGACTCAATAAACTGTGAGTTTTAAAAGTTGTAGAATTGATTGACTTAAAAGTAAAATCTTCAGAGTATGTGACAGTTTGATTGACATTTTTAGAAACCTTTCACATCATTTAAGACTCAGGACTGATATTAGAGTATTGAAAAAAGAATAGTTGAGCATGTCAGGTCTTATAAATGTGATACAAAAAGATTCTCATCTCACTTTATTAAAAATAGGATCCTAAAAACTTATGCCTTCAAGAAGGCAGGACTTTTATTTATAACATACAGATCGACAGACATCAGCAAGTATTGCTGACCCAATTGGCAAAAGAAAGTTTAGGACCCAGTTGGTTGGAAACATGCGGAAGTGGATAGACAATGGCTAAAATGATGAAGATGATGACATAGCCAAAATGAGATTGTAAACCGTGGTATATCTTGGAATACTGTGTGGTCATAGCTATGGTTTATTGAGTAAATCATAGGTAAATATGTCCATTTAAAAATCCAAAGTGCTCCTAGAGGCAGTATTGTAAGCAAGGGAAGGAATCATTGCTTGTTAAATCAGATTCTGTTCCATTCCTCCTGTTTAAATATTCTCCTGTGGATTAGTTAGATAAATGTTTATGGAGATTCTCAAGTCATCCAGATCATGGTTGTCCCAAAGGTGATTTTTCACGAGGCAACTGAACTTTTTTGTTTTTGTTTGAAGACATTTTGGTTCTTACCAAGAGATCTCCATGGATGAGAAGCGAAACATCTTTAAAGAAAAACAAAGTCCAGTTGCCTCTTGAAAAAGCACCTTTGGGATATTAGTTAGAGAAGTGTTTCTCATGTGCTGACTAGGGAATTCTGGGAGTTGAAGTCCACAGAGCTTAGAGTTGTCAAGTTGCCACAGGTGAGAAACACTGAGTTAGGGAGGCTAGGGCAAAGCAATACATTCAAAAAGTAGTAAGCCAGAAATAAAAATTAAATGTGTTCCGTGCACACATTATACTCAGCTGTAATATATTTTTAACCATGTTTATTGCTGTAAAATTGTTTTATTTACTGTAGCCATTTACTGTGTCCATTCATATATAATAGGATAATAAAAGTAAATTACATTATGGTTTAGCATTACATGAAAGCTTACCCTGGGAAAGCTACAGTGAGAGAAAAAATTATTTGGTCCTCTGCTGATTTTGAACGTTTGCCCACTGAAAAATGACCAGTCTATAATTGTAATTGTAGGTTTATTTTAATAGTAAAAGACAGAATAACAACAAAAAAATCCAGAAAAACGCATTTCAAAAAAGTTATAAATTGATTTGCATTATAAAGAGTGAAATAAGTATTTGACCTCCTCACAAAACATGACTTAGTACTTGGTGGCAAAACCCTTGTTGGCAATCACAGAGGTGAAATGTTTCTTGTAATTGATTGATAGGCGATCAAATATTTATTTCACTCATTAAAATGCAAATCAATTTATAACTTTTTTGAAATGCGTTTTTCTGGATTTTTTTTGTTGTTATTCTGTATCCCACTGTTAAACCTACCATTACAATTGTAGACTGATCATTTCTTTGTCAGTGGGCAAACAAAATCATTAGGGGATCAAATAATTTTTGCCCCTTGCTGTATAGAAGTCTGTCCAAGGAAATTTATAGCAGGACTGCAAGTATTTTTTTTTTAAATAAAACTTTTGTAGCCTTGTGTATACTGATTATTTTTCTATTGACCCTCACATTATAAAGGAAAAAAGTTTTAGTGCGGCTTCATTGAATCAGTTATCATAAGTAGTGTCATATAGTTGCTATCAAGAATGTATTTTGGAGAGCAGTTACTTGTTGGGATTTGTCGCTTTATTAAGTATTTTAACATCAGCCATATACCATGTATGCAGTCACAAAAGAGCAATATCTTCTCTGGGACACATGCAGAGTGAGATTCCCTCACCACCCTCTCACTACCCCACCCCACCCCGCTGCCCCAGACCCTTCCTCTCAGTTGGAGAAAGAAAAGGTTCTTTTACAACAAAGGTAGAAATGGATCCCAGGTTAGGAAAAGGAGAGAAAAATTATTGTTCTCTTGAGTCTCCAATTAAAGGTTAGAATCTATAACAAGCTAAAAAAGTGCCAGAGAACATGCAGAGAACTTCAGCCTCAATAATCTCTTTGTCTCTAAGGTATACCTAATAAGTTGAAATAAAAGCTGTAAGAGTTTTTATTTTTTCTGTATGGTGCTACAATACCTAACAAGTAGAAATAAAAACTGTAAGAATTTTAATTTTATTTTTTTCTGTGTGGTATTACATAGGCCTTATTGTCTTTGTACAGGTTGAGTATTCTTTGTAACCATATAGTTACGATTCCCTTTTTTCTTTACCAACTTGTGAGATGAAATCTAATGTAGTAGCAATCTCTCTTCTAGATCCTGTCACAACTTGCTAATTGTAGCAGACTGGCACCATCTTGTGGTCTACCTAAAACATTGCCTGTGTTTTTGTAAATTATTTTTTTATTAAAATAAATTAGTATTCATATACTTTTCACTTTATTTTTTGTGATACTTGTTATCTTAGCCATGTTGCTACAAAAGGCAGAGAACATAAGTTATCAAAGGCCTTCAATCAATATTTGTTTTGCTTCATATAAATATTTTTGGCTATTTGTTTTTTCAAAGGATTCTTCAAGGAAACCAAATTAAGTCAATTACAAAGAAAGCACTTTCTGATCTTCAGGCCCTTGAATATCTGTAAGTATATCTTATACTGTTTTGGGGGGGGGGAATCTGTTTTTTCTGTAGAACATATCCCAATTTTAAAAATTCAATCATGAATACATGGTTCTTGTTTAATTTTGTAGAGATCTGACCAACAATGCTATAGTATCTATTCAAGAAGGTGGTCTTTCCCAGCCTCTTCTTAAAGAATTGTAAGTATTTAATCTTGCAAAATGTAAAATTCAATCAGTATTTAAAAATTAGTTGCGCTGAAAAGAATTTCTATCTGTAACACACTTTTTAATCGATATGGATTTTTTTTCTGATTAAAGCAATAATTTGATTAGTTAAACTAGTTTTGAATTATCTTCCCTGTGACAGAGGTCAGGAAATCTTTGCTCACAATTATCTTTGAAGTGGTTTCTCTGAATTATTTACTTTTTTTAAAAAAAAATACTTCAGAGGCAAAACTTGTTTAAGTTAGGCAATATATACAAAAATTCTGAAAAGTAAAATGCAGAGTGCATTAAACATTTCAGATAACATATATAATAACTATTGAAGAATAAAAGCAGATAAAGACCACCAGCATCAAGACATCAAAGGATCCAATGTATTGTTTCACCAGCTATATACAAGATTGTGTTTAAGAAAAGATCTATACAATATATATCCAGAATTCTCTCTCTTTCATTATACTTTGTTGGATGATGTTTTTTTAAGTTAGTTGGTTGATAGGAATGTAAAATATTAAAGGTTAACATCTATAATACATTTTAGCAACATCAAACAGATAATACTGAAATGTTAATGAAAATTTTCAAACATTATAAGCAGGAATAAGCAGGAAAAAGAATCATGCCTTTTAACTATAAGCAAGCTGTTATTTCTTTGCCTTCCAGCTTACAGCATTTTTCCTTGTGCCTTATGTTTTCAGGTTGTTGAATACTAGCAGCTTATTGTGTGACTGCCAGTTGAAATGGTTCCCACACTGGCTTTTCCACAGCCGTTTGCAGGACGCTGTCAGTGTTGTTTGTGCTCATCCTGAACGGCTAGCTGGAAGGAGCATTCTCAGTGTGAACACTGAAGACTTTGTTTGTGGTTTGTGTTCTCTTACCTTTTTTAAATAAAATAAAATATCATTTTAGAATGAACCTACTGATAATTTCAATCCTGAAAAATGGTTGCATGTATGAATTATAAAGAAAAATATGACTTCACTAACTTACCCATCAAATATTCTGGTTTATGTGAATTTGATTGTGTGGATTTGATATGATTTTTGGTGTATATGTTAAGCACATATATTGCTAGCCCAAATGTTGGTTCAAAAACCCTAGACCCAGATTTCAGAAGTTGTCTGGAACATTTTTTGCTAGTTTGTTCAGTGAACAAACTTCAGTTGAACCAGATCTTCAAATAAGACAACCTGGATGTTACAGGAAAGCTTAAATAATAGAGAAAAATTATAACTACAGTGGCCTTAATACTTCAGAATTTTCTTTCTTTGAAAGTAATATTGTTAATATTTTTTTAGGGATAAGTTCCATTGGTTTATGGATCATGCCTGGCCTTGCATGGGATATTGAGGTCTCCAAAAGTCAACTTGACTGGGTGAAATAGAGACTCTATTTCAAACATGGCAATTGTAAGATGTGTGAACTTCGATTCCCAGGATTACACATACCTTAAAATTGCAAGATTGAAAAACATTTTTCTAATGAATGAAATGAATATTTTAAAAATCTGCAGCACTTAAATGTTTATATATTTTTTCTTCTAAAACCTCAGTTTGCTTACAAATATAGAAAGTGCTCAATTTCTTGCTCCCATCAATTGTGAGGAAGCTCTGGGAGCTACAGAAGAATGGGCCACATGCAAATCTTTGGCTACAGTTTTTATGGCAGGTTTTATTTTACATTAGCAACTGTACAGTACAATGTTAGCTTTAACATTTTTTGAAGATGGGCACTTTGCAGCAACCAACACATTGTCTTCATGTTTTGTTCCTTCTAATAGCTTTTAAATAATTGTCTATATACGTTTCTTGTCAATGGAAAATAAGCATATGTTGATATTGCCAAGGAAAATATGGATTTTTCAAAATAGATTATTCAGATTCTCAATGAATAAAAGCTGAAGCAATAAAAAGATACAAATTAGTGCCGCAAGATGTTCCCCTGCCAAACTTGGACTAAAAAGTGTTTTTAAACCCTTTGAACAGATGATGAGAAATGAGAGACCTTGAGAAAATGCCTGGGTTGTCTTATAATGTATCTCTTGCTATCATTGTGGTGTAACAATGATGTTTTTCCACATCCCCATTCGGTTTCCAAGTTTCATACCCACTTCTGATGAATTACATTAAAATTTATATCAGTATTTACTGCATTTCCCTTTTGAAAAGGAGATGTAGCTAATTTTTATTTGTTTTTCGTAGATGACTTTCCCAAGCCACAAATTAGAACACATCCTGAGACAACAGTTGCGCTTAGAGGAACCAATGTTTCCCTGACTTGCAAGGCGGTGAGCAGCAGTGATTTGCCTATATCTGCTGCCTGGAGAAAGGACAATGAAATATTATATGACACAGATATAGAAAATTACGTCAGGTACCAACAACAAGATGGTGAAATCCTGGAATATACTTCTATCCTGCATGTTTTCAATGTGAACTTTACTGATGAAGGAAAATACCAGTGTATCATCTTCAATCACTTTGGGTCCAATTATTCCAACAAGGCCAAGTTGACTATCAATGGTATGCAGCAGTGGGAGTTTTGTTTTGCTTTGCTTTAAGAAGAAAAAAAAAATCCTTGAAATGAATTTGTATAAAAGAGGGATTAGAGCCTTTATCTTTCATGTAATTCCAACAGTCCATTGCAAGTAAGCAATTTAGATCTTAGGCAAAAGTGATTTTGCTTTTCCCAGTAGTGCTGTGTGGAGAGAAAAGACATCTAAGAGAAAGAAATGTGTGTTTACATAACCTTTGACTATAGCTTCACTGATATGTGATACAAACCCAACAGATCACTTCTGTGGTTTCATCAGAAAAAAAAAAAAGGATTTCATAGTTTGTTTAGCTTCCAAATGTGTACCAACAGTCTTTCCCTTTTCGGTTCCTCCCTAAAATAGTAGGTTAAAAAAAAAATCAATTGGTGCTGAAAAGTTATGAAAGACTTCTCACATAGAGGCTAGGCATAAGGACCATTTTTTTCATTTTTTAAAAAAGGGGGAAACAAAAATCAACACAAATTACTAAGGATTTTTTAACTGTGATTTAGGGGAAAAGCCATAACAAACGAGTTTGCATATCATGCTAAGTCCAAAACAAATAAGCCATGTTACAGTTTAACCCAGTGTGTTAATTAAATTAGACAACAGCCAACTTGCTTCTTGGCTCAATGCTCTCAAAAGAACTAAGCTGAATAAGAGGAAGAGGCAGCCACAGTAGTTCCATGGATGGAAATGGTTGGGGCAACTGCAGCAACAACAGCTTCTGTGTTTTTCTGGAGCTGCCTGTCTGGTTATGTCTACTATAACGGGTTCTCAACCTTGGCAACTTTAAGACTTGTGGACTTCAACTCCCAGAATTCCTCAGCCAGCTTTCTGGGAGTTGAAGTCCACAAGTCTTAAAGTTGCAAAGGTTGAAGACCCCTGTACTAGAGTCAAGAGAGTTGTAACCTGAGGAGTTAGTGGTAGCAGTATGCCTCATCCTTTACATCAGGAGAATGACTGCCCAAAAGTATTTGGGCATGTGAATGCTGGCATTGCAAGGAAACTGGGTGCATTCTACCTCCAGATTGGGGGGGGGGGGGAATCTTAAACAACGAATTCACAGAAATCGTACTGAACTAACCAAGAAGTAAATTACGTGGAAAATATTTGCACTTTATTTCTTACTGTACTAAATCACATCATCCCAGTAAGGTTGCCCTGATTGAGGATGTTTTATTGTGTTTACTGTTATGAAACTACTTTTTTAATCTTAAAGGATGAAAAGATAAAAAAAAGCGAAGACAACATCGATTGTTCCAGAGAAACTAAAAATCATTTTGCTTTTTTGTTTTCCCCCTCCAAATCATTATTAAATCTTGGGAGTAAATTATATTTTGAAACAAGGCCGGATTGATGAAATCTAGTTTTTGATGGTTGTGAGTTTGTTTCTGGATTTATTTATTTTTTTAGTGGGTAAACAACTATCTTTTGAGTCAGAAAGTGTACTTTCGGGTAATTTTTAATTCCCCCTCCTAAAATCCAGATTTTTTCCAAATCTTTGGTATAAATCTAAGTAAAAAATGTTTAAGGCTTTGAACAAGGGGAGAATTATGGATTCTGTGTGCTCCGCATAAGGAAAATTCTCATGTTAATTCTACTGCATTGTCATTCAGAGTTGCCTTCTTTTGTGAAAACTCCCATGGATTTGACAATACGTACAAGAGCCATGGCTAAATTGGAATGTGCTGCAGAAGGCCATCCATCACCCCAGATATCCTGGCAAAAAGATGGCGGCACAGATTTCCCTGCAGCTCGTGAAAGGCGCATGCATGTGATGCCAGAAGATGATGTCTTCTTCATAGTAAATGTGAAAACTGAAGATATGGGGATTTATAGTTGTATGGCACAAAATGTGGCTGGCAGTATATCAGCAAACGTAACATTGACTGTGTTAGGTAAGCAGACTTGAAATGACATGAGTCATTTTATTAGACCTTCATACTTGGATATATTTCAGGTGATTTGCATTTACAGGGATAAAATCAGAAGCCCCACTGAGAAAGTTAAAATCAGTTATTATGTGTTAGGTCTTTGGCATTTTTAGAAGGGAGGAATGTTAGGATTGTGATTAAAACAGTAAAAAAATAATAGTGACGTAGTGCAGTATCAGAAAATGCTGGCCTTAGATTTAGGCAATGAAAAACAATACTGTTTGTTTGGTTTGAATTTAAATGTGGTCAGATCCCAAAATCAAATTGAACATCTCCAAATATTTATGGAAGTATTTCCCTTGAATATGTAGTGTGAAGATATTTAGTCTGTGTGTTAGTAAGTACTTTAAATATTATCTTTATTTTCCAGAAACACCTTCATTTGTTAGGCCTCTGGAAGACAGGACTGTAGCTCAAGGTGAAACAGCTGTTCTGCAGTGCATTGCTAGTGGCAGCCCTGTCCCTCGCCTAAACTGGACCAAAGATGATGGTCCTCTGACAGTGACCGAACGGCATTTCTTTGCAGCTACCAATCAACTGCTCATCATTGTAGATGCTGGATTAGAGGATGCTGGAAAATATACTTGCATTATGTCTAATACTCTTGGTACAGTGCGTGGCCATATTTATCTACATGTATTATCCTCACCGAACTGTGACTCATCCCAAAGTGGCATTGGAATTGGAGATGATGGCTGGACAACAGTTGGGATTGTAATCATTGTTGTGGTCTGCTGTGTTGTAGGCACCTCTCTAGTTTGGGTTGTTGTTATCTATCACATGAGAAGAAAAAGTGAAGATTATAGCATCACTAACACAGGTGGGAAACCTGCTAACTTAATTTTATTGATTTCATAGTTATCATGACAATTGGTAAAGGGAATTGAGTTAATTCCATTTAAAGTGGCTTAATAGAAATCTGTTTGCACATCCAGAAATACCTGTTTCATAATCTATCAAACCTCTGTCAGAAAAGTAATGCCAGAACTTTTGATTACCATATATACAGCCTATAGAAGTGATCATATATAAAGTCAAAATACTAAAGTTTAAGAAAGCTGTTGTTTCAAAAATTACATTTTGTTATATCTTCAGAAAAAATAGTGTTATAGTATGGAATTAGTGTAAAAATTATTATTTGTTGTAGTTTAATAAATGGCAGTAGGTTAGCATTAGAAAAGAATAAATGAAAATGCTTTCAAGACATTCTTCTAGACATTCTAGGTAAGTTTTCTTTTTACAGTGTGAGGTTATATTTCTTGATACATTGCCTGAATGTCACTGTCTTAATAGATACCTAATTGCTGGATAGTTTAATGCCATATTTTTTTTCCTTTTCAGAAGAGGTAAATTTGCCTCCTGATATTCCTAGCTACTTATCTTCTCAAGGGACTCTGTCAGAGCCACAGGAAGGCTATAGTAATTCTGAGGCAGGAAGCAATCAGCAACTGATGCCTCCCTCCAATAGTTACATACACAAAGGCACAGATGGTAAATCCTATTTATCTTATTCTTAGGCAAAAATTAGATTATTTTCCACAGCCAGTTTACTGTGACCCACCAAATTGTCGATTGTTTTTTCAGTGCCGTTGTAATTTTCAAATGGTCACTAAACAAATGGTTGTAAGTTGAGGACTACTTGTATAAGCATATTCTGAATTTGCAACATGGTTAGGTGAACCAAACTGGGTGTCAGGTGTGAAAATGTTGTCTTTATTGATATACTCCTTGCATCAGATTAGATAACATTTATCATTTCACCATCGCTGTGGGACTAGTGATAGAATCATTCAATTATTTTTAAAAAATGATTCCATTGGTTGGTTTATTTTCATTTTTCTGTGTATTTGCTTTCTTTTAAAAAAAAATTACTCCCATCGAAATGATCTAAAATCAGGAAGGTGGTGAAGGGTCAGGAAGTTAGGATTGTTTGGTGAAGGAGAAGGCTATAAGGAGAAGGGAAAATTCTTGTACTTTTCTGGATGCACTTGTATGAACAAGGAAGCAAGCAAACCCGGAACCAATTCTTGACAGTCATGAAAGAGGGGAGAATAGGTAAAGAAGCATTTCCTCCCCTCTCCCCTTCTTTCCAAGTTGTGCCTTCCAGTTTTCCTGGATTAAAATCCAATCATACTTCTGACCAATTGAAGCTCTCCTAATAGCACTTACAAAGCCAGGTGCTGGGAGAAAGCATTTCTTAAACCTGAGTTGGGGCAAGGCCTGGGATAAATTGGCAAAGGTTTGCTAGTTTCTCCTTCTAATTCAGATGACACAATGCTGAAATTGGGTTCTCTTCTCTCCCCCACCCTCCTGCTGTTAGACTCATTAAATGCTCATTATGAGCAAGCCGCTCCTGCACTGAGCAGGAGTTGAATTATTGAACTAAATTATTGAACTAAATTCCAAACGTCCCTTCCAAATGTCTGATTCTATTTCTTCTGGCTTTTTTTTTGCAAAACTCTATATCCTCCAAGATTTTCCCATAGATAGTAAAGTATTTGATGCTTGTTTTCCTAGTAGAAGCGATCGTGTCAGAGTATTCTAACTTACCATTATTATTTTTTTATTAGGTGGCACAGAGCCATTGGTGATCTGCTCAGATTGTTATGACAATGCCAACATCTATTCCAGAAACAGGGAGTATTGTCCTTATACATACAACACTGAAGATGATCCACTGGATCAGTCATTGTCCAGCCTAATGATACAGATGTCTAAAGAGCCCTATCCTGGATGCCCTCAGCATGAAACCACAACTATTAATAACTTTTCAGATGGCCAAGATAGGTCTGTGTTTCTTAGCAGTCAAGACAGGCTACATGAGAGGAAACCATGTTCCCAGTCCTGTGGCAGTGGTGAGAGCTTTTTTGGGGGGGTTGATATTTAAATGATTTCATTTTCATCTGAATAATCAATTGGTTGTTGCAAAATATTTCATAGCTACATTGCAAAATATACTTTGTGAATCTGCCTTTTTCAGAACTTTGTTTTTATTTTATTTATTTTTATCTTGCCTTTATTATTTTTATAAATAACTCAAGGCATTGAACGTATCTAGTACTCCTGTCGCTCTCATTTTCCCTACAACAATCCTGTGAAATGGGTTTAACTAAGAGTGTTACTGGCCTAAAATCACCCAACTGGTTTTCATGCTTAAGGTGGAACTCGACTTCATGGTCTCCCAGTTTCTAGTTTGTTGCCTTAACCACTAGATCTAACTGGCTCTCAGATTTTACTCTTATTGTTGATGTCCAGTCTCCAAGCTCCATTATTCAAAATATATCTAAATGTAATTTGTTTATGAAGCCAAAATAATAGGTTATGTAAACATTGTCTTTCATATTTCCAGAAGTCTATTTTTAATTTGATTTCTTTTATAAAAAGAAACAAAAAAGATACAAAAAGAAAAGAATGAAAAAAGTAAAAACAATATATATACAGAAGACAACTACTTTTAAACATAACATTTAACCATGACCATACAGAGCAATATTAATTAGTTTTCCATTATATCACTAGAGAGCCAGTTAATAGTAGACAATGAATATATTTCATCAATCCAAGATTGTAAATCTAGGATAGTTCTATCTTGTCATTGTAAAAGAGTAAATATTTTTGGTTGTGCTCCATAAGTTGATAACTTCATTATTCTTCATATAATGTGTTTGAAATAGTTGATATATAATTCCAAATCACATAATAATAACCATCTTGCTCTTTCCTAAAATCATATTAACCACCTTATGGATATTAAGTAAAATAAGAAAACATATGTGTCCCTCTCCATAATTTTACTTTCCAATATAATGAAGTCATGGCCATATCTTTTAAAACATTTTATCAAGTGTCCAATAAACATGAAAATTTCAAATTGCTTTCATGTTAAGATCGTAAGACTTGCAGTTCATTTGTATATTCCAAATTTCTGTTCCAACTTTCTTGCAAATATTGTTTATCTTAAAAATCTTTGGTTTTGGCCAAATAGGGAAAATAAAAGATATTTTAATTTAATATGTTGCCATTCCATAGATTTAGATAACCTGAATTTTTCTTTCAATTTTTTGATGACTGGATCAATCAGAAATTAATATCATTAGCTCATGAATCCCCCCTCCCCCAAAAAAAGATTAAGCTCCAGTTTTCAAACTGGGACTATCCCACAGTGTAAACTCTCATGTAAATAAGAATCAGAAATACACAATATCTTTCAAATATGTCCTGCAGCATTTAATGCAGGAAATAAAATAGAATTTTTGACTAAAAAAAGGTCTAGTAAATTTACTAACTTTGAAGCCAAGATTCTTCTATATATATTAGATATATGTGGTTCTTAATAAGTATCTTCAGTAGTTTGAAATACACTTTGGCTACCTTATGTTTTTGTAGATATATCTGAATATATAGCTTTTTACAAAATGTACAAAATTATTCCTAAACATAGACAAATAGCAAATACATGATTTAAATGTGCTGTTATAGCTAAAATTGGGTGTTGTTGTTGAGAATCTTAGTGCTGAGATTGTTTACAAATTCAAATTTCTAATTTTTCCTTCCACAGATCTTTTTCAACAGTCTTTATGGGGTATCAATAATGATCTGGGGTTGTTGCATCCTCATTGTTCATCTCCATCTAAGACCCATGAGGTGCTAGAAGTTCTGAAAAATGAAGGCATCACGGAGAAAGAGCCAGAGCAGATTATTCCTCCTAGGCTTCATCACAGATTACATGAATACAACTTTGATTTTAACAGGACTCGGGACATGCAAGAGCATCGTGAAGCTACATAAAAATGAAATAAACATTAGCAGCTTGAAGCATTTGTTAGTATTATTGCTACCTCATATTTTGACTCATGGCAAAAAATGTTTCATGCTTCCAACAGAGGCCTAATGGAACAGACCACTGACCGCATGCTGGAGGGCAAAATCACTTCTGCTATTTTCCAATAAGTAGCATATATTAAAGCTCAGTCTTAAACGGATAGTGAAAAAAAAGAAGATATAACACAGTGATGGAAGTGCGAGTGTCTCTGTTGTCTTGGAAACATTCCCAAGAATGGTTCACATACGTTACCTTTCCTGCTGAAAAAAAAAAAACTTTAAAAGAGCCTCTTTGCAAGATTTCTTAGTATTCATCAATATGAAACTTTTGCTTGATTTTTTGATCCATCTGACAACTAGCAGGAATTCCTCTCAGTATGTCCGATCACAAAATCTATTTACTTTTTCTCTCTGAAGTATTCAGATGTAAATATATACATATAATATAAATATTTTGTATACACTAATGGAGATGAGAGATTGAAATGTAAAGTTTTTTTTAAAATCATGCCAAATATCACATCATTCTGACTTCCCTGACTTGTTTTGCCAGAAATCAGAAATTGTTTACTAAGAGTGATGCAGATGGGTTGGTTCATAATTATTTTTTTTGCACTCCACGATTGGAGTTATCAAATGCTCTGCCATTCATTCACTGGAGATTTTCATTCTTTGGTGGCTCTTCCACTTTATAGTTTTATGTATGGGCTGTAATTGATGGAAGGAAGATTGTGCATAAAGAGAATTTCTTGTGAATCGGCCTGTGGATTTTAACACAGGATATGATATGTATGATGTGAGAGATGGTTAACTTGATGTATTATTAGAAATACGAACTATTAATGTGAAGTCATTTTTAAAATTTCATGGATGCTGGAAATTATTTTACTTTTTTCAAGCTTAGAAAGTTTAAACTGATTATCTCTGTTCATACCCATGCCTGAGAAATTAAGCAATGAGTGTGTAAGATGTGAAGAATTAAATGAGTTGAACATCAGTGGTTAGTCAGAAAACAGTGTTTCTCAACCTTGGCAACTTTTAAGATGTGTGGACTTCAACTGCCAGGATTCCCCAGCCAGCCATGCTGTCTTCCCAATGCTCCCTGATGCAGGCTGAGTCCACACATCTTAAAGTTGCCAAGATAGAGAAACACTGTATAGAAGAAACCTTTGACACATAGGACTGGGAAGGAATTTGACACATTTCCTAATATGCTTTTGTACACCAAAATGAAATGTTATACAATACTATAATTATGATATAACAGTGGAACAGCTAGTAATGGAAGATTATCTCAGAATAAGAAATAAAAGGTATAGACCTTCAGTAGTCTACAGATTGCTTTTTATACTGAGATAATCTTTTTGCTAATCTTTGCTATTCTTGAATATTCTGTTTGCTAATTTTTCCTACTATAATAATTCAGAGTTCTGGATTGCAGTTAGAAGACATCTCATAAACTCTGTGTATTAGCTGTGGCAAACACTTGTAGTCTGACAAAATGTAGGAAAAATATTAGCTGTCAATGTAATCCCACACATTTATTCAGATTTAAGTCCCATTAAGTGCTGTAGGCTTATTCTAAAGTAATTATAGAATTGTAGTCTGATTTGAAAATTAGCCACAGTCTGTATCATCTGTTCTCAGAGTTCAATAAAAGGTATTTTGTAAACTATTTGGTGTGCTTCTATAGTAAAATGTTGGCATGAAAAATTATTAAGGCAAATATATTTCATTTGTGTCCAACATTCCTGCCTTGTAGAAAAAAACTGAAGACTGAGCTTTTCTGGAGAGCTTTTGATGCTTGAGCTATGGTTAGATTGCAGTTCTGCAGGCTACTTCTGCTGACTGCCAACTGCCAGGAGATCGGCAGTTTGATTCTCACTGGCGCAAGGTTGATTCAGCCTTTCATCTTTCCAAGGTTGGTAAAATGAGGAGCCAGATTGTTGGGGGCAGTAGGCTGATTCTGTAAACCACTTAGAGAGGGCTGTAAAGCACTATGAAGTGGTATATAAGTCCAAGTGCTATTGCTATATTGTACTGGGTTTTATCTGCCTTATTTCTATGTTACTTTATAGTATTTCTTTATGTGCATTGACATAAAAATTGTGTAGTAAATGAATCAATCAGTGACTATATCCCCACTAATGGAAATAATATGTACTAAGCTCATGAGTAATATTTAACTGGAAAAGGCCTCTTTTTACTAGCTGGAATTTTAGTGTTTTTGTTAAAACTCTTATTATATAAAGCCTTTTCTGGCTGGAAGCAGTAAAATTCCTGTGTTTTGTTTTGTAACTTAAGAATCCCTATGGGCTTGTCCCACTTACAAAAAGTAACCAGCCAGGTAACTAAGCAATGAAAGAATGAACTCATTAAGTAGTGGTTGCTTGCCCTTTTGGTTTTTGTACCAGTGGAAAGTGCCAACTTACATATTGCTTATTTCTTCATAATATCAGTATCCCAAATCTTACAGGGATCTCTTGTCTGAGGTCTGAACCAGTGCTGAAAATAGAAAAGTCAAGGCAGATTATTGTCAGCAAGTAGATAAAGTTCAGCTTTCTAGGGCACAAAATAACGTCTTCTTTTATCCAAGATATTTGCTTCAAAGTACTGAACCCACAAAAAATTAATCTTGCTTGCAACTACAATTTTAATGCTTGTTGCATTATTTTCTGTGAGAACCATACTTGAACTTTAGCAGTAAAAATGGATATATGAAATATACAGAATGGCAGGTGATGAAATGGGTAAGCATTCTGTTAACAAAATTACAGAGGCACTTTATTATCATTTTAAATGTTGCGTTTTAGAATTATATAAGAGAAAGGTTCCAATTAAAAACCTTTGGTAAAATATAGGTACTCTGAAAAGGATAAGAGTCAGACTGCATTAACACTCTGTTTTGTATTTCTGAGATATGTGCTAAAACACTCAGCAACATAAAGTTCTGCAAGAACTTTCTTGTTGCTGGTTTTGCATCTTCTTCAGGGTGGACATGTACCAGATGGTTAAAGCATTTCTATTTTATCTTATGTAAAGTTAGCACTTGAGATAATTTTCTCTCACTAAGTGATGAAAACAGGTTATGGAAAATTGAGACAGCTTGTGGAGAATCTGATATGGCAAAGCTGGAAAAATATGTAAGACCAGAACTTCATTTCATCTTTGTATATATTCCTGCCAGATTGCAAATGACATATTGCACAGCTCAGTATTTTACTATTCACTCTGGAAGTTCAGAAGCTTCACTGTAGAGAGACAAATTTGGTAATCCAAACTTCCTTGTTAGATATAAGGAAGTTCCCGTTTAGCAACCACAACTGGCACTGGCAACTCAGCTATTAAGCAGTGAGAAAGTGAAACCATGGCTGTCTTAGGATCTTCAGGTTTGTTTTTTTCTTTATAGATCTGTGAAACTTGGTAAATGTGAGGATTGATTGTGAAGTTACTTTTTCATCACCATGATAACAATGGTGGCTAAACAAGAGCTACATATTTACATGTCTTTATGTAAAACAATTCAGACAGCTTTGGGGCTAGAATGGGTTCAGCAGTCAGGCTGTAAATCTGGAATGAATAAAGTATTGAGGATATTTATGAGCACAAGGATGTCTAAAAGTAAATTGTAGAGCAAAGAATTTAAACATTTTATACCTTCTCTAAGCTATGTTTTTGGAAAATGACTTCCTAGCAAGCCAATACTTCTCCTACTCTGAAAACAAAATCTATAAGGAATTGTGTCTGGGATTAGAATTTAGGCAATTTTGAAATATTTCACTTATCTATCATTTTTAAAAGAGGTGTTTTTTTGGGGGCAATTTGCAGGGAAAAAAATATTGATACTTTTTTCCAATGCCAAAGTAATTATAGCTGTAAATATCCAGGGCAGTGCAAATCAATGTTTTCTTATAGCTGTTCTTTCCTTGTAACTATTTATATTTTCTCATGTAATCAGAATGTATATTTTGTACAGCATGTGTAATATGTTTGTCTATTGTAATATACCTTACCCAATAAAGGAATACATAATTAATTTTGGGTTTTGCATGGTCTAATTGTGAGGTGAGTAGTCTCCTGAACAACTGCATAGCTTGCATTACTTGTGCTCCATGTTTGAACACCTGGGCTGCCTTGAATTCGTAACATAACTAGAATTATCTAACAAAATGAAATTCAATAATAAAAAAGTAAGGTCCTACATTAAGGCAAGAGAAACCAAATGCACGGGTATAGTATAGGTAGTACCTGACTCAACAGTAGTAATTGTGACAGGGATCTTTGAGTCCTAGTGGACAGTCACTTAAATATGAGCCAGCAGTGTGCTGCATCTGCTAAAAAAGCCAACGCAGTCCTAGGCAGCATTAACAGAGGGATAGAATCAAGATCATATGAAGTGTTAATACCACTATATATTGCCTTGGTAAGACCATACTTGGAATACTGCGTCCTGTTTTGGTTGCCTTGATGTAAAAAAGATGTTGAGACTCTACAGAAAAGAATAACAAAGACAATTAGGGGACTGGAGGCTAAAACATAAAGAATTGTTGCTGGAATTGGGTATGTTTAGCTTAACGAAAATGAGTAGGGGTGACATATCTAAGGAGTTGCCATAAAGAAGAGGGGATCAACCTATTCCCCAAAACACCTGAGGCAGGACAAGAACCAATGGATGGAAACTAATCAAGACAAGAAGCAACCTAGAACTGAGGAGAAATTAATAAATGATTTGCCTCCAGAAATTGTGGATGCTCCAACACTGGAAGCTTTTAAGAAGAGACTGGACAACCATTTATTTGAAATGGTGTAGGGTTTCCTGCCTGAACGGGGTTAGACTAGAAGACCTCCAAGGTCCCCTCCAACTCTTATTCTGTTATATTTTTACTTTTCATATACAGAAATGAATAAATATTACTATTTTTGCCTTCTAATTAGGATTAGATTAATAGTTCGTTCATCTTTTAAATCACTGGTGAAGCTGGCACAGCAGCGCCTGCATTTTCTGCGTCGCATGAGAAAAGCACATCTTCCTTCTCTTATCCTTACCACTTTCTACAGGGGGGCGATTGAGAGCATCCTGTCATACAGCATCCCAGTCTGCTTTGGAAGCATCGCTGCTTCAGACAGAAAGGCGGTGCAGAGAGTGGTGAGGATGGCTGAAAAGATCACTGGCAGTTCCCTCGCTCCCATCCAGGACATAGCACAGAAGCGTTGCTTGAGCAGGGTCCGTAACATTTTCTGGTCTCTTCATGACCTTTTTTCCTTGTTACCTTCTGCTGTTTTCCTTGCTACCTTCTGGGAATAGGCTTCGTGGTATCTGAAGCAGAACATCCAGATTCAGCCATAGTTTCATTCCTTACAGCATTAACCTTGTGAACTCTCAAGCTTCCTCTTTCCGTTATATATTCAAGATGGACAGTATTTAATATTTATTTGCTACGTATATGTAGGAGTGTGGGTCTATACAGATGTTGTTCATAGTATGTTTAGGTGTGTGTCATATATGTGTTTCACTTTAAGAGCGGGCAACTAAATTTCATTTTTGATGTTTGCTGTTGTGCCCACAGTAAAAAAATGACAACAAAGGTTATCTTAAGTATTGGCTACAAATTTTATGGGTATAGAACTGCCATGGATAGTTGTGTCAATCTTCTGACATGAGCAAATATAAGTACTTAAAAAGCTCTTTTTTATAATGATACATGAATCTGTTTGAGTAATAAAGGATTTGCTGGCCATAGCACTCAAACCACTGGATACTTTAAAATGACAGTTCCTTATCTTTATAATGAAAGAGATACACAGACATCTGTAATAGCATTGGACAAGATTATAGCTTAACAAAATGAATCATTCAAAATATGAGTAATAAAAATCTTTGTTCCATGTTCATTTTATTATATCTAATTCAAAAAGCATCTCTGGAAGTTCCTTAAGAATTGAGAACATAGTTTAATTAATGAACTTGCACTGAATAGTTTTGGATTCCTATCATGCAGTATATTACCAGCTAGCCATTTCACCCTTGTTTTCTCTTGCATGATCCTAAACTGCCTGATTTTTTTTGTTAGTCCAAAAAATTTTCTTCCAAAATGTTTCAGGTTTATTAAAATTTTCTTTTTTTATGCACCAGTTGGTGACATTTGTGACAAGGTCAGAAAAAAGGTTTGCTTCTGACAAAAGTAGATACTACTTTTATACGAGCAATGGTATTTGGAGAACTAGTCCAGTGTCAGCTAACTCCAATTTTCAGAATGTACAATAGTCTGTGTGTTTATTTTATTTTATTTTATTCTATTTTATTTTTGCCTATATGATTACTTTTCAGGCAATTCTAGCAAAACATGGTCATTTGATCTTCCAGATTTTGCCTTGATTCCTTCAGTTACACATGTTACATTCCGTAAGTGTGTCTTACAGCTGAATCTATAAATGAAAGTGTTTAGAGATTTTCTTTTTACAGACTGCTCCTGTTTCTATAAGAGTAAACTATTTTCATTTACAAATGTTCAGACTGTTACTTAGAGGATCCCTTTGTTGTTGAAAGTAAAGAAAACAACAATTATAATCAGAAGTGTTAGAAAAGTCAGAGTTATTTGTGCATCATGGTAATTTTCTTCATTTGGCTAACGAGTCGGTCATATTTTGGTCCACAGCTCCACTAAAACTCTTACAGACCTTAAATACATTCATCTCCATAAGCATTCATTATGACAGTATTCTGGATGTTATAAAGGTATGCCCTGGACTTATTGTTCAATAAATCACAGCAGTAAATCATAGTAAATAACAAGAATGAGTTAAATATATTTATTTTTAGGATACACAAGTAGCCCTTGACTTAAGACCACAATTTGGGAGCAGAATTTCCATTGCTAAACAAGGTAGTTGTTAAGTAAGTTGCACCTCATTTTATCACCTTCTTTGCTACAAATGTTAAGTAAATCACATGGTTATTAAGTGAATCCAGCTCACCTTATTGATTTGCTTTTCGGAAATCAGCCGGGAAGATCACAAATGATGATCACATAACCCCAGGATGCTACAATCATTGTAAATGCTTGCCGATTGCCAAGCACCCAAATTTGGATCATATGATTGTAGAGATGCTGCAACCCTTTGTATGAGAATCAGTTCTTAAATCACTTTTTCAGTGCCATTGTAACTTCAAATGATCATAAAACAAATTGTTATAAGTCAAGGACAACATGTACTGTATGTGTAGAATGTTGATTTTATCATTTCTTTCTGTGTTCCCAAATTTTCACAACCTGTGCCTATTGTGCCTAAGGGTTAATATAGGTATACAGTATTTAAGCCTAACAACAATTTTACAGTTTTTTTTTTTAAAAAGAGCGAGGAATCATCTGGAAGTTTGTCTGCATTTCTGCACCTGCTATATTCATTGTTTTCTCACTTCGAATCATTAGGTAACTACATGAAAATAGTAGGCATGTGTTCAAAATTTGTATCAAGTCATTGTGTTAAATGTTGTACCTATGGAGCAATTTGAAGAGCATCTATTTCTTAGGAATTCATAGAAATATTTGAACAGAAGTAAGATCCTAAGTTTTCGCATGCAACTCTAAGTACTCAGTAAATTTCCCTCCTTTTGAATATAAAAAAAAATACCCACAAATGAAAAGGGAGAGCTAAACTATTGGTTAGCTTAAGACAGGAATAAGGATGAATTCCTGTTCTACCGAATATGAAATTATGGGTATTTGAGAGTCTCAGTTCTCCAGGCATATTTAAAAATTAACTCTGCTGTCTTGGTGGCCAGGAAGGAAGATACAGGCTTTCAGGAGAAGTAAATATGATGATGGAAAACAAATACTTCTTCTCTGGGGTTTCGTTAATAACTTACCTCCTTTTGGTAGCTTTATCTTTATGTGATTACTGCCTTAATCATCTGAGAATGGAAAGATAATTAGATACTATGTTGGAAGCATTTCTCCTATCCTTAATTTCCAACTGCTGGAATCTAATGCTTTCTCCCTAAACAGTTTGTGGCCTCTTTGCAATCTTCACCGAACACCAGTCTTTAAATATTAATGAGTACCTACAGGTGGAGGAAGTCTGTCTTCCAGCAACCAGTTTTGCTTTTCTCTTGAGAACGTAGATTGCATATTATATGCAAAATGTCCCTAGATGGCAGCGTAACACTGCTGAAATAGCTGCCAAAAAGGGTACAGAGAATCTGAAGGGTGTAGTAGCTTGCTCTGTTCTGGCAAGTGCAACTGGAAAGCATAATAACAAGAAAATAAAAATATATTGAATATCCAGTGGGCCATTTCCACAGAAGAGGAATAATTGCCAGCACTGATGAAATCCTAGATTAGAGCAATAATATTTACTTTTCCTAATGACTCTGGGCTTTTCATGTCTGTTATCTCCACCCCCTCCTGGTTCTTTTGGCTTTAGGTAATAAAATTTATATAATGAATTCATTCATCCCCTGTCTCAAAAATATTACACTTTCATCCTCCTGAAGAGTAGTGAGCTTTGTAATCAAGAGCTTCTTTGTATAATAATGGAAATGGGGGATCCAGTTACCTGATTACAAGTTGGCATTTGTGCTGAAGTGAGATTGTATTTTTTCACCAGCCACAATCATGCAACATGAAGTCTAGTAGGCAAGGCCCAGAACAAGCACAATAGCAATTTATTTTATATATTTTTTAAAAATTGTGTTGTGATTTTGGAGGCAGAGATTACCAATTTCTAAAGCAGTCTTTTCCAGCCTGGAGACATCTAATTTCATGATTTCCATTCCCGTAGTGGCAATGACTAGCAAAGCTTATTCAATGCAAAATTTGTAAAGAATGAATACTGCAAACTAAAACATACATAGCATTACCAAGATCAAACAAATAAGTCATTTTTTTTGGAAAAAAAACATTTGGCCTTAGAAACAGAAACCTAATATCATAATTCAACACTTGTACCTCCAGAGTGATTCTGTAGGCTGCCAGCTCTTTAATGAAATGTTTCTGATTAAACAAACAGCTGAATTTACTACATGCTGTGGCAGTT